TTACATTCCTAAATTATCACATTAAACCACAATCTTTTGGGTAACACATGAAACCACACTTTTTTTTTATCACAATGTAACACAACATCTTGTGTTACCTAATACACTATTGATATTGTACATCTTGTCCCGTAACTATTGGAATTTGTAGCCCCTTATGACTTATGAGTTCTTGGTTGTAGGCTACAAAAGAATTCTCATCATGGTTTTAGTGTTTTGGAGGTTGTCTTGTATGGTTTGCTACCAAAGAATTCTCACAATGGGTTTAGTGGTTTGGATAGCACATGAATCCACAATTTTTTTTACCACAATGTAACACAACATGTTCAACCAAAGTCTATAAATTGTTTTCCACCTCTTCTCGCACAACCAACATGATCTTTTGTGTTTTTTGTTTTGATTTGATGAAATGTAATTTTAGAAGATTAACAGATTTCTAGGACGCTAAAAATAGTCTTATTAAATTAAAAAAATTGACCCTTTTACCCATATTTACATACTCACATTAAATATTGGGGAGTCATTTTTGGAATTTCAGTAATTATTTTTTATTTTATTTTCAACCATTGATTATTAATTTGTGTGGTTGAGATTGGATCTCACGGTTATCACAAACAACTCAGTTCTTCTTTGAATGAGCCCCTATATATATATATATATATATATATATATATATATGTTCAAATTTTAACCAAAGTTTTTGTGTTAATTTTGTTAACCGATCTTGGTCATTCAATCTTTCAATAAACGGTTGTGATAAAAACTTATTTTTTTAAATTTAAAATTTTATAAAGATAAGTGAACAAAGTTGAAAAGGGTATTTAGGTAAAAAAAAAATTATGTAACTCCTATATCATTAATTAATTAGGAGTTACAAAACAAAAAAATTCTATGATTTTTGTTAATGCAAGAACCATATGAACACAACTATATATATATATATATATATATATATAGTTATATATACGAACAAAAATTTGACATATATATGAACTTGGACTGCATAGCATTTATGAACACAA